AAGTGTTGGTTAGCTACAGTGTCATTGCCTCACCGACCGCGCAATTAAAATTGTACGCTTAAGTAATATTTGTTTAAAATCACTAATTATGTGCCCGCTAATAAATACTTACATGCCACATCTGCTGCGGTAATGGCCGTCAGTGTATGTATGTTTCATTTGCTCGCAGCACTCAACTTATAAATTACTATTCGTGCGGACACAACACCGGTATGTGTTGTTGCATTTTATTTATAAAAAAATTGGATTATCAATTCCCTTATTTATCAGTTTTTAACTTACATCTATTATGTAGTTCTCATGTACCGTTTAAAAGAAATTGGCTTAAATTTACTCGACCAAAATAGATACGAATTTCTGAAATTCTATTTCAGTGCACGTCATCCGTGAATAGTTAACTGTATGTAAATTTAGTTCAATAATGATATGAAAAAAACTAGCGAGTGTCGAAAATCTGACGCGGCATCGAACCCGGACCTCCCAAGTAGGCTATATTTCACCCTATGCGCCATCCGCCCAGCCCCGCCCAACACCTTATTAAGCACTAATATACATCAATCTTTCACACATTCCCCAAATCACAAAAAACTCATACCTAATATATTGGTTTGTTCCTCATTACCATCTTATTTTGTATCAAAAATATTGCGTACATTATTAATAATTAAAAACCTTATTGTAATTATATTATAATATTTGTTTATTTGTATATGCACAAAATATTAATAAAGTTTATCAATTAAATATCTGAATAGTCGTAAGTTTCATTTTAATATTGATTGTTTAATATATTTATAATTATTCGTTATTTATACTTTAGTCAATTAAAATCAAAATGGTAGTAATAAAAGCTACAATGATTATTTTATAGATAAATCTCTGACTAGACTTTGGACCAAATTAGAAACTAGACTTATCAACAAAAGAATTATTAATCGAGTCTTATTTAATAATATTTCTGATATAGCATATATTTTTAATTACCATATACTTTGGCATAAGCAATAATGTGAGAAAATCCTTACAGCAAACGTTTTAATCTTATTGCATAGTATGATCTGTAGTCGAGAGCCGGTCATTTGTCTTCTCGTCACTCACACGTCAACGCTGTTCCGCCTCCTTCATAATCGCATCTCAAAAATCGAGAGATCGCGTTAATCTTCTAAATATAAATCTAACATAATGATGCACATGTCACTGTACAGGACCCAAGGTTTTCATTATATACTAGAAGACCTGGCGAACTTCGTATCGCCCTATAATTAAGAAATCTATTACGTTTTTTTATTTATATTTTTGGAGTTTACCTGTAAGCCATAAATCTCCGGGTTTTGAAGTGATTGATTGACATATTAGTTAGTTGTCAAATCTAATGTCAAAAAAAACGTTTGTATGGGAAATAGAAAAGGGCTGTTTTTATGGTTTTCCCAGTAACGAATCAATTTTTTTCACCTTTTATACCTTCCCTGAACCTCCATGAACATTTCAAGACTAAGATAAGATAAATCCGTTCAGCTGTTCTCGAGTTTTAGTGAGACTAAGGAACAGCAATCCATTTTTATATATATAGATTATTATTACGATTATATCCATCTAAAGAGGTCTTATTTCATAACATCGGATGCGAGGCGACAAGTCGTGACGACTCACACGTCAGATGGTAGATCATAAACATCCGTCACGGTAGCGGCCCGTGACTGAATGTGATACTGAAATTTTACCAAGGGCTCAGTTAGGGTTGTCATTTCGGTTTGATTAACAAGCATTTCGAGGCAGAATAATCTTGGCAACAGCTAGATATTATAAGCGATGCTGCTTGGGAGTTTAAGAGTAATTGAAAGCAATTGTATTTTCTTCTAATTTACTTATATATATATAGTTAAAACTTCATAAGGATCTACTGTTATTACAAATAGGTATTGAGAGTTGCTTGGTAAATAGCGGCGGACGTAGGTACCGAACACAATGCAATAATTCCTGTTTATCGTAAACCACTCGCAACTGTTGGAGGTAAATCAACAATACACTTATCAATTACAAATACGATAATGTGCATATATCATGCGAGATGTAATCACGCTGCCTGCAGCACAATTAGATATAAACGCCGTGAATATTAACTAGGTGGCATTGTCACTTGAATTATTGTTTATTTCACTATACCGCTAATACGATCCAATACGGATTATCATTTTAAATTGATATTATTTTCCTCATATATAATACTTATATTATAGTTATATGTTATAATATTTTATATTGTTAATCTAATAAAATGATTTAATACATAGGAATAAAGTTCGCAGCTCCGAGTGTGCTAATGATCAAGTAATGCGCACGCCATCTGTCTATAATTAACGAAACCAGTTAATTAAATCGCAAGCAATATGGCGGCATGTAATTGCTAATAATAAAGCTCTCCTATATAATTAGACGGCGCTGAGTGGTGTCTACTTGATAACAAAGCGTTAATGTACTCGACTACATATTTATATAAGCATGTACAAAGAATCACACTACTTTCAACATATAAAATATATATGAAGAGTAATTATTATAGATTTATGGATCATCAAAAAATTTATACCAATGAGAGTAATTTCATTATATTTCTGACGCCTTTCGAAAGTATTTTGAAGCTCGTCAATTAGTGCGATTCAATTAGAGTTAATATTATGATAGTTTTAAAGCATTTAGATCATTAATTATGTTTCCTTAATAAACATTACTTGTACGTTTCCTCGTAAAATATTATAAATCTCCACGTATTATATATATTTTTATATATTTAGATAGCAAATAGTTTCATGTCACCTTAATTCAAATTAATCTGTATATAAATTACGTCACTATTATTAATTCATGATGAATTGTAAATAATCACAGCGTCAGTTGTATTAAAGGGTGTTTTTAATGAAAGCGATGCATGTTAACGGTTGAGATGTAAGCGATGGTGCGTTGAAGATGGATCAAACAGACGCCCAGGGTAACAATGATAGACGAGTTTTGCACCTCGGACGCTTTAATTAAGACGATATGCCGAGTTTGTTTTATACCGACCAATCATTTTACACCATCCGGCTAATTATGAATGTATATTTATATGATATTATTGTTACACTAATGACTAAAATTTTAGTCTTTTGATATTATTTTTTTATTACATATTAGATTAACTGAATGTAGGGTACTGTTTTAGTTAGTGTCTATTATAGTATCAAATTGTATCTGTATATTTAAATTATAAAGAAAGTTAGTTGATTGGAATTAAAAATGAAAGTATAAAATACAATCTATTGTCATAAAGTAAGGAGTTGTTGTAAAACGTCGCGATACATTCCGTGTTCGTTTTCTGCTCGTTAAAACCGTTGTTAGTGCGAATGTTCAGATCTTATTAGTGTAACATGATTTTCCGCTAAGTTTCGGGTGGCTGTGTGATGGACGATCTCCTCCGTAATATATCATCGGCTCCATATATCACGTGTACGCCGAGTGTCGCCATTAACGCATGGCAATTGCCTGAGCATGCACTATCGCGAATGCTATAAGCGGCGTCTCACAGATCGACGCGGGTCCGCTAGTGGCGAATAAATCTTTTTAATAGCATTCTTATTTTCGTTCTGCCTCGTTCTTGTAAAATTCTCATGCGCTGCTAATGACGGCTCACCTTTGTTACGTTACACATTTACAGCTGTAGTTACGATCGTCCGTACAGTATCAATGGTTATCTATTAAATTATTTATAATTTATGAACACTTATATATATTTTTTTCTGTCTGGGTGGTCTGCTATAGTCACGATTTAAAGGGTCACAAGTTACATTCTTCGTATGTAACTAACGGACAGCAAATTGTCAGTTGAGCTTACGCGTCACTCTCAAAGATGCTGAGTTAAAGTCATGGACCGCTATACGATCTGCTTCTCATCTTACAGCTAAAGATTTGTTGTTTCCGTTCCCGCCGCCTCAATGACTACCATTTTATGTCGATTTCGAAGATAATGTTACACGCGCTACCGACACCACTTTTTGTGACAATCCTAAATTCTAACAACGAGTTTATTATCTGCGATCGATTTCTGTTGCATTTCTCTTTCAAAGTATATGTTCTGTTCTTCATTATGAGATTGTTTATTTCTAAATGAGCATTTTTTTATTAGGAGGTCTCGTTTAGGGAAAATGATAGCAGGAAACCACAGAAACAGAGAGGGGCAATAAAGGCTATTACTCAGCCAACCACAAGCAATTTCAGTAACAGTAAACAAAAACATACACCTATACAAAAATGTCTACCCATTCATCTTTCTGCAACGGGAGACATTAAAGAATGTCTCCGTTAAGAAGGGGAAGGGGAGTGACTGTTAAGAGTCATAGTCGCATAAAACCTAGCACTTTACATAATATATTTTTGTACAATGCTTCAAAATGTTTTATACCATTCTAGACTCTAATACTTTTTAAACATTATTCTTATTATGTTTTATTTTTTATGCTTTCATGTTACGACGGTATAAACTGATGGTGACATCGTGAAGGGAATGAGTACATAGCTACAGTTCTAATATAAAATTGCTATAAAAAGATTATTATCGATAACCTAAAGTCTAATGAGCGAATGCTGATTTGTGCCGCTCACAACGATAATTATAACTCGACCAAGTAATTGTCGAATAATTGCGTTAATGTGAAAATACACGCTTTAACATAACAATAGAATGAGGAAGTTCGTAAACTTTAAAATTCTTATACAAATATCACGTCCGAGTTGCGTTTTAATGAACGTGTAAAGTAACATAAAAGCCATAAAATGACATTATTTTTATTATAAAATAAATGCAGCGATGAATGGTATAGCGTTTATATTAATCTGAAAACTAGCATTCCAAGTTCTTATGTTTTTGGGGCAATATTAAAAAAACTCCATTTGCAATTAATAAATTAGTATGTTTATGTGATTCATTATTATTATATATAGATAATTTATAATATATCTTTCTCCAGACGAATGTTCCCGACGGTGCGAGTATCATTCGCGGGATGCCGAGCGGAGGCTCGTTACGCCGTGCTACTGGACGTGGTGCCGGTGGACGGCAAGCGGTACCGGTACGCCTACCACCGCTCCTCCTGGCTGGTGGCCGGCAAGGCGGACCCTCCCGCGCCGGCCAGACTATACCCGCACCCCGACTCGCCCTTCTCCGGGGATCAGCTGCGCAAGCAGGTCGTCTCCTTCGAGAAGGTCAAACTCACCAACAACGAGATGGACAAAAATGGACAGGTAATTAAAAAAAATACATAAAGTTATGATATCTAATAAAACCAGTACCAAATTTTGAATGTAATATTTTTTATTTATAGCTGGTCCTCAATTCAATGCATAAGTATCAACCCCGAATCCACCTGGTGTTACGAAGAGAAGGAGCTATCAATGCACCGATCACAGACCTCGAGCAAGAAGAGTTTAAGACGTTCATATTTCCTGAATGCGTCTTCACAGCAGTCACGGCCTACCAGAACCAACTCGTAAGTATTCCGAGTAATGTTTTAGTTTCGCGAGCTCATAAATAAGATGTCCTTTGTTTTATCCAACATCACCGGTTAGGTATCACAGGATTTCTAAAATAGATCAGAGGAGCAAACGTTTGGAATCGCAGCATGTTGTCGAGCTACTATCGACGTGTGCTATTCCTGGTACACTAATTGCATCTCGCTGAAAGGTATGTCCAGCTTGAACAAAGGGAGGTGGCACATATTTTTCGTGTATCAAGCGGCCACCGCCAGCGTCTGTGATGATTGACGGACACCGTTGGTGACGATTAAAGTTTTCACCGAACTATAAATAGAACGGCTCACCCGATTGTTTGACCGTCGTTGCTAATGTTTTCCTCAACGACATTACTGAACGAATTCTTTTAGACAACATAATTTTAGTAAACATTTATATAGTGATTGATATAATTGTAAACGTTTAAACCCGCTGCCCGCTCCGCTACGCCCGTCAGTGATCGCATGCTGCATGTGTCGCCACGAGCAATTAATTCCCTGTCACAAGAGCGTTTGGGCGTCACAGTTTCTCGTTTTGTTTCTCCTGAGCAGTAATTAGGACGTTTTGAGGTTCATAAAGGAAGCGTTACTTTATATCGACAACGCGGTACATAAATCTTCATTCGTACGTTAATTAGCTTGTGTTACGTACTTTTTAAAATATTAGTTCCGTGGCTTGTAACAACATGTAACATTTGAGTGCTTGAGCTATTTCATACAATTAGATTTTAAAAAAGCTTATCAATTAAAAAGGGTTTTGATATTATAATTTTGTGATTGTATCATTGAAGTATAATCAAAGATAGTTACTTTTACTAAGTATTTCTAGCCAGATTTTTCTGAATTTAAGGCATGTGACATTACTGCAACAAATTACTAATAGAACTCTGACTTCCTGCTATTTCAAACAGATTGCTCTCTGGAGACGTATTATTGATATCCATTGATTCTAACTCGCAACTAGATTTACAGCTAAAGCTTGATGATAAAGCTAACTGAATAGGCTGTTTCTGAACCTAAATCACAATCTATTAAATGATTTATGTAACAAATAGAGAAATAAATTGATTTAAACAAGCTTTAACTGTATACGTTCGTTGAATTTGAATATCGATTAGATCGGAATTGATTTATCAAGTGACATACAATAATGATAATTCTGAAATGGATAATAATAAATTGTTATTTTTTCTATATGAGAGCTATATACGTTACTACCTTAGAATGTTGAACGCGGTATCTGTTCTCGGATCAGTACAAGACCGTGCGGGCTTAGCTTCGATTTGGCTGACGTCACAATTCTGACAGCCCGAACATTTGTCGAACGTAGATAGTGTCAGTGATAAGCCAATCCTCTACAACAATAAGAGCACACTTAGCGTGTTTGCACCTGCGCCCGCGCCGCCCGATATGTCTTACGTATAAAACTTTGACACAAAAATATCGGAACAATCTAGCCTTATCAATAAACAGTCATGTATCAAATTTTACTACTATTGAATATTTTATTTCTAAGCCGAAATTAATTCAAACACCAGAATATTATAAAAAAAGTGTCACTGCGTTTATTTACATAGAATTAATTCAGAATGAAACATCATTATCGGTGCTTCATCACACTCAATGATACGAATCGAGATAATATCGTTGTAAGAAAAATGTGATTTCTGTTTTTTGTGTTTTAACCGTGTGAGTTGAGACTCTATGTCGCCAGGGACGCACCACGGGGTGGTTTCCCTGAACCTGCTGCAATATATAACATCTACACCCACCATACAGTTTGTTTGTGAGCAGCCCATTGTCTCCTCTCAAACTTTGGGTAAGGTGACAATGTTTGTTAGACTTAACGCGTTTCAAATACACAATGAGTTTTTTTAATAGCCGATGACTAGTGAATTTGTTATGATCGATTGCTCTCGTCTGAATCGAAAAAAACCTTGCGGATGGCAACCTGCAGTGATGTATGGAACTTTTGTACATGTTATCCTCAACGGCTAAGCCTATTTAGTAGTTTACACAACAAACTAAACGATGTCAGGTTAGCATAAAAGATTTAATTTCATTATGCACAAGGCAAACAGATTTTTACTATTAAAGGGATACATTTCATTAATGATACTCAACCATTGGCCGTCCGAGAAGATAATCACGAAAATAACTGCCGATCAGCCTCAAGTAAATGCGTAAACACTCTCAATAGCTACTTAATTGAAATTTATTTCTCATTTCTCAGTATCAACAATCAATATTCTAAAATATTCTATCACAGTGAGCATCCACAAACGAGTTCTATTCGGACATAATCGAACAATATAAAGGAGTAAAGGCAAACACAATTTCAATAACAAAGGGCAGCCATGACAAATAAACATATTTCACGGGCCAAAATGGCTGCGGTCAGGTGTCACGAGTGTCCCCCCCCGCGCCCCCGCCCTCCGACCCCCGCGCCGCTCGTCCCTCTTGAACCTCTTGATTTTATTTTTTTCATCGAATATAATCGATTCATTCTTTTGAATACAATCTTTTACATTTGTCAACGTATTGACTTTATGGTTGTTTTAGATATCAAATAAATTAATATTTAACATTCAATTATAGTCCAAAAGTTTTAATGCACTGTGCAGTTTTGTTACGACTTCTACTAGATTAGACGTCGATCGATCTATCTAACCGATATATTGAATGTAATAATAGATCGTTATTTTTAGAATTATCCATATTTAGATAAATATTGAAATATGAATATGATAGCTGCATAAGTCAAAAATACAAGAAGTCAACGTACTTGCTTATGAGAGGATTTAAAATAATTTAACACAAAATTATTTATTAATGCTGCGTCTCTCTCGCACTCGTTGTGTTAGCGTGAGGGTTGTAGAGTGTGATCTCTTTCTTTCCCGCCATCGATCACGCGAGGTGTGACGTCACGCAGAGCCATCGTGTGCGGCCCGGCTGGATTTATTGCGTCTGCGCACCCAGCCACCTCAGGAGAGCTACATTTATTGTGTAGAATCTATACTTAAAATTAACTCGATATACTTAATTGTTATTTGAATTAAAATATTAATGACATATCATATTGACGGCTACTTAAAAAAAAACACTGAACGATTAGCGTTCAGTAAAAAAAAATGTTATCGAAACTTTGGTCTTGAAGCGTATTTAAAAGGATCAGAATAGTTAGCGATAAATTTTTAGGAACTTGTTTGATTATATGTAGCAAACTTCTTGTTTAATTAATGATGTTTATCAACCTTTTTTATTTATTACAACCACTTCATTATAATCTATACAGCCTCGCTCAATTAATAGGAAAACCTTCAAGTTGACACCTGTCAAATAATATTTTTAACAACAATATATCAATGGTAACATACGTACAGGAGTTGTTCGCATTGAAATGTGGCAGATCGCCTACTCACTGATATTTAGAGTGTACAGTCGTGATTACGGGCATGAATGTAAAGTTGACCTCATATTAACTATCGGACCTCTTGCGGATCTGCTGGCCCGTCTCCGAGACACTTCCGAGAGGCCAGTGCAGTTCCCTTCCTGAAATATGAACAGACCATAAAAAATATGACAACATAATAATGAAAAAAGCTGCTTACAAATAAAATATGTCATAATGTGGGTGGGTAGGATTCTCATACAGATAGCCTCGGAAGTGATGGAAGATCTATACGATTTATATTCGATATCTCTCATACTATCCATTGGATCGATTACAGATAGTTTACAACTTCTAGAAGTTTTGGACGAAGAGGATATCTAAACTCACGAGTGACATGTTCAAATTAAAGAGTTGCTTTAAAATATATTGTTGTATGTCTCTTATTTGTTTGGTATGTTATAATTTTGTACGCGAAATAAAGCATCGCATTCTCGAAAACGCCATTTACAACTCAAGCAGATGTTGGCCGTTTAAAATTTACTGTCTTAGCACAGTTCTTGCGATCAATATACTGCAGTACGACACAACTATATGTGAATTAATTATTTTCATTGTTCCATTATCAATTATATAAAAAAAAGCAATAGATAGTAAGACGTAAATATCTAATTGTTCTCATTAATGCTATATTTAGAGACGTTTAAAATCTGTTTATAGAAAAATAAGCTGAGCATTCATCACATATGAATTAATACGGCGTCTCAGTAACTTGACGTTTATTTATTCTCCAGAATGCTCCTGTCATGTCCCCTTCTTCATCCTGCCATGTTTACACGACCATTCCTCTTTCACGTTAAATTAGACTGGAGATATATTCATATATACTATTAGAAGTACTCTTACTTGATAGCATTATTATAGGTGATTAAAAATATGTATAACTATTGTTTTAGATGGAGATGGTAATAATTTATTTTAATATATTAGTTTTTCATAAATTATTGATATTTAAAAGTGTTTATAATTGACACATTAGCATTGAATATACTATTATTGTCATGCTAATATTAAAAATGTATTAAATTAAATATTTTTAACTGTGTATCGTATACCATATATCACGGGGTAATCATTATCTGTTACAAATACATGCGCCAGCGCATTCTCCTGCTTCTGCTAACGTCTTTTCCGAGACACTTTTTTTGTTTCCCGCCCGGGAATAATGTCATTAAGTGCCTTTAATGCTTTCAGTGATCGGTAGCGGCGTGCCGCCCAAGGCGACCGTTTGTTGATACTTAAATTAGGTTGTTTTGACACGCCTCGTCCTTATGTTTGTACTAAATCTAATGAACGTCGGCTGCGTTCAATTATCTATATATTATTTCGATGTTTTCTTTTCGTTGTATCACAGGCAACGTTACATACAATACTTCAAAGAAATATCAGACGTTTTTTATAATTATTTTGTTACTTTTTACACGTGTTTATGTGTTTTATGTGTCTGAGATTTTGTATCTTACTTTAACATAACGAGCAATTTACTGAGTTTCGTATTACGGTATCGCGATAGATGAGGTTGGTTTAGAAAAATGAAATTGGTAGTTTAAAGAAATAATTAAAATTAGAAATGTATAAGAGGATTAAAAATGAAGTTTTCTTTTTAACTACATAAACAATAGCTCATTAAAGTCATGACGAGCTTGTGCATCATGTATACATGGGTATTGCAACTGCGTCAATAGAGCTACTAGGTTGTAAGTGAAGCAGAGCCTATTGTAGTCAATGGGATGCCAGGGGGGCGTGCAACTGTAAGTAGCTGTGATCGCCATGACCCACAATCTACAACAATCGAGAGAAATGACATCTCTCGGACATCGACCAGAACTTATTGTGTCTCAAACATTATACCAAACAAATGACAAAGCACTATTTGGTATTTATTTTCTTTGTCACGTTAAAGTGAGTAATTAATGGGAACGTAACAGTTTTAAAAGCTCCTCCAGACGTGGTTGCTCCAATAAAATAGTATTGATCCGAAAACTAGACATGACTCCGTCACTATATCGTAATGTTTACGATTTTCTTTGATCTAAAACAATACCACTTGATCAAAATATTTTGTAAATTAACTGCCTCAAGAAAAGATCAAACAGTTTAAAAACATTTTATGTGTAAATTGGACAGCCATTCACATATTTTGGGACATTATTTATATTCTTGTAAATTTGTCAGGGGAATTGTTAAAATTGCTATATCCTGTTTTCTTATTTGCGGAGGTCGGTGATCTAAATTGCCTGTCTAGTGCAAACTTGTAAAAATACCATGCAATTAACTTTAGTGTAGGTGAGTCAGGTGTTTTTTGTGTCACCTGAAGCGCTGTAGCGATAACGCAAAAAATAACAAAAAGCGTTCAGACGAGATTGCGGCGCTCCGGTCTGCTAGAATAGCGCTGGAGCTCGACATAGGTTGGATCAGTCGTCAGATAATTAGTGGCGCGTCGCCGGCCGCCGCTACAAGCCTCGCTGAAAGATTGACATGCGCCCGATCGGTAGTCGATGACTTGTTTATTGCGAATACCACACAACCGAATTCACACTTCGCCAATTGACTTGGCAATATCGTCTTAGCTAAAAACATTATGTGGCTCACTGAAATATTTATTGACAAAACAAAAACAGCGTTGTACGCAATTTTTCATAAACAAGATGAAAGAAATATTTATACGTGTTTAGGATGTATTAATTAAAGAAATCCTGTTATAGACATGGTTTAGTAAAGTAACAATTGATCAGAGCATTTCGTCTGAAATTTATTGTATATAGTTTCGAGAGCGTTTATGTATAACAACTAATTCTATATATAATATTAAACAATTTTATTCAAATAACCTATTTATCAAATATTTATAAATCAAAAATTGTTACACTTATGTAAGGGTTGAAACTTAAATTTTTTAACTAGTTTAAAGGCATTTAAATGATGAAAGTTATTTTTTTAATGATTAACACTGAGGGGTATTTTTTTAGATGCAATTTAATTGGAATACTAAAGTAGTTTTTGTGTCTTGTTAACGATAAAACAACCTACGAGTAAAACTAATTATTATTATTACTTATTTAAATTTTGACATAGCGAGTAAATTCGTATGCAATTTGAAATTTTCAATTTATTACTAATCGTAAGGGAGTTTCCATTTGTATTTCTTTTAAAGTAGTCCGGTAATTATTTAAAAATTATAAGAAAGCAAATTATTTGAGCCTTTTTTTGAGTGTCATGGAGATTAAGAAACAGTAATTGATGATCATAAATAAAGAAATGTAAATATATATTCGATGACAGCACATCATAACATAAATTCGTAGAATTTACATGAATCCGAACACAAAAAACTTTAAATTACTAAAATATTTAATATTCATAAAAATTATAATTTACATATAATAAAATATAATTCTTGTGCAATAAAGATAGTCGCTTATAGTCGGTTAAGAGGCTGCAGTGAGTCGAGGTGGATTCTTTCAATTTGCAAGGTACCAGGTTCACAAGAGATTTGTCGTAAATAATATTCACAAATTGTGGTACCGCAGCGGGAGCGGGCGCCCAGCAAGGGGGCGATTTCTCATCAGGCTGGCCTCTGCCAAACACATTTTTAACACCTCGCACCTTACTAAATCAACACTGTATTTTATGAGTGCATTGACACAATTCTGTTTTCCATATGTACAAAACTTAAGAATTTTATTATTTTAATATAACTCCTGTTTTATTACCTATCATACAATTTTAATTGTGTCTTAAAAGAGTGTTTATTATGTTCCAAAATGAAATCATTGTTGTCGAGACGGTTGCGATACATACGATTGTCTTTTGTTTCAGATAACCAAACTCAAAATCGACAGTAATCCGTTCGCAAAGGGATTTCGTGATTCTTCACGTCTGACGGAATTTGAGAGGTAATTATTACATTTTGTTAACTAAATCTATGTCATCGATAAGAAACAAAATGACGAATTGTAAGCAAAAGTAATAATCGTTCAAAACACCGCTAGCCATGTATCATTCAGTGAGCCGCGGGCATTCATTAGGCCTCATTACGATATGACAGAATTCGGTATCAGTTTTCTAATCGAGCATCGGACATGCTTTAAGAACAAACGCAGCGACACTGATTGATGCTTAGGCTGTACGACTACCTGTTACGTTTAACTGTAGTTTCATGTTTGTAGATCATCCACATCATTTTTTGCATCATTTTTCTTGAAATTCCCTTTTTTTTTGTTTATTTGAGAATTAGTGGTTTTATTTTGAATTTTTCTTTTTGAGATTCTATATCACGGGGGAGCACGAAAGAACATCAGTCTTCCCCGATGACGCGCGCCTCGGTGCCGCCCATCCTAGGTAGATACTATAGCTAGAAAAAATGTAAATTACTAACTCAACAATATTTAAATAACATTTACATTTTTTCAGAGAGACGATGGAGTCGATGCTGGCTGAGCAGCATTATTTACGGTCACCTTTAAGACCGTTCGATCTGGATCAGCACAACAACAATCTGACGTTGGAAGAGAAGGCGATTTTGGCGGCTAGGTCGCAGTTGTTCTTGCGTGCAGCGTATCCTCTGTACGGGGTACCAGCAGCAGCATTGTGGGGTCAATGGGCGTGCCTGGCGCCTCAGTTACTGGCGCAACAACATCTTGCTTCAGGGTCTGGGCTACAACTGCCTCGGCCAGTATACCCGGGTGGTGTACCAGCATCGCTCTCGCAGCATCGGTTCTCCCCCTACCCCGCCCGTCGTTCCTCCCCGGGTTCCTCACCAGATTCCCTCCGAGCGAGTCCCCACTCCCTGCCCCCGCCCGCACCTCATACACCTCACGCACCCCACAGCCCGACTTAGTAGAAGACATCATATTCTTGGCGCACTATCGAGCACTTTTGTTGCATTGCTTTTGTGAATCAGAAGTCCACATGGATACAGGAAGATAGCACATTTTTGGTAGCAGTGCATAGTTGTTAAATGAATTGTTTTGCAATTACCAGTGATTTTGAAGGACAGTGATAAAAACTATCCCAGTGTCATGTACCATATTGTAAAATAATGTATTTAAATATCATATATTAAGACTGTAATTATTGTTATGATAGCATAATATTATTATGTTCCTAATTTTTTTTATAAAATATTTTCGTGAACATTTTTAGAAGCAAAAAAAATTTCATTGTAACTTCATATTGTTGGGTGGTTTATCGTCATTACTTTTCATTATTTTAAATGTCATATTTGATACTGGTTAGGTGAAATGTGCAATAAAAATATTGTTTTAGCATTCTAGCTGTTTGTAGAAAGATAGAAGTTACAATTATTATCTGTGTTTAAGGTACTCAACTAAAATGGACACATAAAAGTACCCAATATATTATAGAATTTAGTTAAATTATAGTAATTATAAATAATATATTAATAAAGAATAAACAATTAAATGTTTGTTAACAAATCTATTGTAGTGTGTTTTTTCCAATTATCCTGGGATCCATTCAGTGACAAAAATAGAGACAATGAACCAAATAATATATATATATTTGTTCTTTAAAATAGAAAAATAAAAAATAACCTTACTTACTAATTTTCTTAATAGAATTAAAATATTTTCGAAATCACCAAGTGGACCATTATATTATTTTAGAGATTTTATTGAGTATTTAGTTTTTATTACATTTTAGGTTGCATATATCTACGAGTACGAGAGGATGAAATATAGAATTCACTTTACTTTTCCGATGAATAGGTAGCAAATTTTAATTTAATTGATATGAATATTGAAAAATTAACACTCAACGAAAATGACCCTGCGTTATAGTGATCTCGTTTTTATAATCATTTTATGTTAGAGCATCCTAACAGGATAAAATTGCCATAATTATTAAATTTCTTCGGTCGGTTAAAACCGGTTTGCATTCAACACCAAGACCGCCACTAGATGGCGGTCAATGTCAGAATTGTCAGAACTAATGTTCAATTATGTCTTCAACAAAACATTTTTTAAGCATACCTGAAGTTAAAAGTGTAGGCAATTGTTAATTAATAAATCAAATACACATTATAATAAAATTACAAAATGATATACATATGTTTTTTTTTTGAAATAATACAAGCATTATTAGCACGTCTAAAAACAATTTAATTTAAATAATGAAATGAACATACTGGGTGTTCCCATTCACTTAGCGTTTGGAATTATTAGTGTGCAATCGCTGATTTATGTCAGAGACAAAGTGTGACAGATTGCGAAATTGTTACAAATTAGAGAGACACGACCCGCAATTATGCAAAGCGACTATAAAGTTATCTAGGAAAACAACCCCACACCAACTATTCAATTAAAATGAAACAGTGGCGAGGCGACATTCGAGTCACATAGAAGAAGGGTCGTCTCCATCGAATTAGTTCGGCGCGTGGCCACATTACTAGGACAAATTTCATCTCCCGAGGGTCTCCGGACTGGAGGGATGCAACGCTAATCTAATCTGGATTGTAGCTAATAAATGTTGTACCCACCGACTCGACTGCAAGAATTTATTGCTTGTAAAACTGTTTCCAATCGCAGAAATTGTTCGAATGACTACGTACTTTCGACATGGTCTGATTGAATTCGCCATCTCACTGACTCTCTTATTTTGTTTTCGATTAATCATTTATATTATAATTTATGACGTATTGTAATTTGGAAAAACTTATTGCATTTTATGGTTATATAACACTAGTAGCTATGGACACTACGTACACCTAAAACTAAGATATACTGCAGCATAACGGTCTCGTGGACTTAAACTATAAATATAATTAACAATTACAAGATAACCCTTTTTATTAACAACTATTTCAATCGAAATACAAACTAACCTGAAGTTAAAAGAGTAATCCAAAGTTTTAAATAATATACTTATAAAGAAAAATACATTGTTATGATAAATTATAAGTAGATTTATTACATACATGCATTTAAATATTTTTACAATGCAAACAATATTAATCAGGTTAACGTTCAATTAAACAAAAAAAATATGACAAAAACAAAGATTACAAAAAATGTCCATAGATTGGCTCACCTATATGTTATAGTTTGATTATTTATATTTATTTTAATCTTAAAGTCAACGTTGTTCTAACTCGGATATAAGGGGTCGAGTTGCTTAATAATGTCAGAGAGTTGTCCAAAACAAAGTATATATGAGATGGATTATCGACAGGCTCATCTGAAGGGCGTATCGCACGTAATGCTGTGTTATTGGCCACTCGACTCATAATCCGCTTTTAACTGCCGTACCGACCCGGGTGGACGTGCTCGGAATCATTATGTCGTCTTTTGTGCAAACATTCGCACTCCTTAGGTCTTCAAACGTTGACATTCTTTGGACGTTGGATAGGAATCGTTGAACACTTCTAAACATTATTTTATAGCTAATCTCTTACATGAGGTAATTGACTTACTAGCGACAACTATCTACAATTATTGCTATTTAAATAACTGGTTGGTTAGTGTGTTAATATGTGTTGTAATATAATAATATAGGAAGTTGTATATATTGGATAATTACAGGCTCGCAACGTTGATTCATTCACACTCGTTCTCCATAATATATATATTTTTTATATGACATAAATATAATGTTTGTAAAAACGATAGCTATAGCTTCAATTTCCCCCCAAAACCGTATATACGTAGTAGAAAGATACGCGCTAACATAAAACAGTTTAACGGCATAATAAGTCGCTGTCGGAGATGGTTTTTATTTTTTGGTAGGTACTAAACGTGCAAATAAAGTTTTATTATCTGGGGGTAGGTGAAGCGGGCGTGGGGGGGTGAACAGCCGGCGCTAATATCCTCGCTCTACACGTCTCCACATTTCACGAAAACTGCAAACCTAACTGTGTAATAATTCACGTTTATTATCACAAATATATGTATAAGTTGGCAGTAGCTGCCGGAACGAATTGACGGTGTAACGTCTTCAGGAATCGTATGAGAGGAGTTCCTCGATGTTTCCCTGTTACCGTGACGCCTAACTGTATCTAAGCCGCTAAGTTATGAACATTGTCGAAACGATCGTTATGAAATTGATTATATTATTTATTGCCAGGTATACATTATGGGGGAGCATTTTGAAAACGTTTACGCAAATGCGAGCTCATAATTCACGTTTTATGTTTCAGGTGTATGCCAGTAAAAAAAAATAAAGCATAACTATTAAAATAATTAAAAAGTTAAATTGGGCGTGAGCTATCGAAAAATAGTAATATATTTACACTTGAACAACTGTAGCTTTATAGATTGGCAATTTATTTAATAGTCTGTCGTTTCATATCACAGCACATACATTGAAATTCGATAAAGTTATTTTTGTTCAATAATACGAATGATCTGACTTCCCATTTTTCCTCCGCGAATAGACCCATCCCATGAGTCACCTACCTCCCCTACCTCCCCCTCTCGGCGGTGCAAAGTTGAGGGCATTAGCGTGTTATCAGAATGAAGAAGGCGCCCACCTGAATACCTACCAATAAAAGTAACGGTACTTCTAAAAACATTACGAACACGTCAATTTTAATCCATAGGTATTACATGGGGATGCTCACATAACGTTGGGATACAGTTACGAAATAATATACATAAAATTAAGCTCAAATTGGATTCACATGAAGATAGCTCACCACAACATTACATGTATTTTTTTATAAAATAAGTTGCAAAATTCAAGGCAGACTAGAAAAAGCCTTCCTTAATATATGTATATCGAATGTTTTTTACGAATAGCGTGAGCTTTATTTTGGTTTCAGAACACAAATAACATCCAGAAACTATTACATTACAACATACTACTCTAAACTTATGCGCAGGTGCGGATCAAGACGAATGCTTGGTTACTTGTAAATAATAATATCCAGTTTCATTCCGGTAAGATAAATTAAAATTTCACAAAGTGCAAATCATTACCCGCAGACCATTAGTGTCTTCCATAAAAGTTTCACACGACCGAAGCAATAGATTCGTAATCAAATCAGTGCGGTCGCAGAGGCAACCGAGGTGGCAGGTCCCCACGGAGCAGGAGCCCATTGACAGGTTATTGATACAAATAGCCCCACCCCAACCCGCCTCGATAACACCAATAAAACCTGATTGATATTGTGTAAGTGCGCCCGGAAAATGTGGCAACTCGATTGATGTTACGGCCAAATTCGATTGGAGGAAAATTGAAAAGAATTACACTTGCACAGAAATAACAACTTTATTGCGCTGCAGGAGAGTGAAATGTTTTATATGTTTAAGTTGGTTTTCGGTCTTTTTGTTCTCGTGTCCATTGTATTGGTAGTAGCTAGAGGCGTGAATAGTGTTGTCTAATGGCGGACTTACACGTGCCACTTTCGAGGTAAAACAGTAAACGAATTTTTTTTTGTACTATATTTTCTGTTATTTATCGTCAAAGCTCAGAATGTAATTTGTTTTCATAAGGCGTTACATCAAATAATAACATAATAATATCTTTATCTCTCTAATATTTCGCGCGAAAATATAATTGTTAGCCAAATAACAAATACTTTTCATCGGGAGAAACATATGAAGAATCACAGAAGTAGAAAAACAGTTTGTATTGAAATTTAAATTATTTATTGTTGCATGAACAAATATTTGCCATGTCTATAACAGTAATGTGTGTCACTTAAATTGATTTAACTTCTACATATGTCATTATGACGAGAGAGAGAGAGAGAAAAAAGCAAATGGAACCTTGACTTATTGGCCTTTATTACAAATGATCATTGTCTCTATATAAATTATTTAATACATATATGTATAACTAAAACTTTCAATCCGATCTTAAAAATTACGTAATGCAAACTTACTTTGCACAACATACACTAGCAAAGCATTTTTTAACGCAATATAAAATCAATTGTCATTTCAATTTCACATAATACGAATATTATTCCTAACGGTATTAAATAATGGGATACTTAATGTTAACAATGAATGAAAATAATATTGCTTAGTAAGCGGGGGTAAGAATTATATGATTCCGATCAGTGTTTTACATCACTCTTGAGGGTAACTGGTCTATAGCGACCCCATTGTGGGAAAATTTCTATGAAATATTTATTACAAGTTGCCTCATGTTAACGCGTACGAATGTTATCCATGCTACTTAACGTGATAAATATTAAACACTAGTACAGTTCACACTATTAAATGTATATGTTATAACATAAATGACATATCTATGTATATATGTATTTTTATTTAAATAATTCACTCAAAAAATATTAAACTTTAATATATTTTTGTAACGTTTTAGGTTATAGTTCTAAATTCATTATTAAACATAAAAAGATTTGAATGTAAATTTTATACTTACGAATCTATGAGGGGAATTTGATATACATATATGTATATATATAGAGTAATAATCATTGAAATAGCCAGTAATATAGCTGGGAAATTGCCAGGTAGAAGAAGAAGATAGAGTAATAAATAATAATCATACGATCTTTTCCTTCTATATTAAAATATCCTAATTAAAGATAATTTCTAACGCAATAATTATCCATTATATTACAAAAAAATTGACAAACTTTTATTAAACCCATATAATATATTACTCCAATAAAAACATCTATTTCAATATGTAGACTACACGGTTTTAATGTTATGTACAAAACAGTAATGACGATGCAGTCAGAATGAATCTAAAATATTTGTATGAATGTGTCACGATGCAGGTCGTCGGCGGCTCCTTGACGGCTTAATTCTTGATGGATGGAGCCTCTCACAATGCACTGCTTAACAGATCAAAAACGCGATAACTTTCGGCAAAGGTGCGAAGTCACCTATGCGATATCATCTAAAATTTTCAGTCACTTCGTTAGATGGATTTTTGTATACACATTTTTTTTTATCTGAGAACATTATTTAATAATGACAATATAAAATTTAATTTGGCTATCAAACCTAATAATAGTATGGTGGAAATATTCGTATTAATACGTGTATTAAAACGGCATTGGTAACTGCAGTCGTGTGGTATAGGCGTGAAGATCGCGAGATGCTGGCTATGGCAGGTGCATCTGATTTATCTCTCATAAACGCTCGACAAATTACCGTTTAGCATCATAAATACCTTATTATCATGGCCATATGACATATTAATGCGTAGCAAAAGTTTCGCCTCGGGAGACAAGTGTATCTGTAGCATCCGCAACGATTGCATTATCAATGGAGGAACATCGTTATGTATCGTGGACTCCGACCACTCCGACCACTCCGACAACTCCGACCAGTACACCATTCAGTCTTCCCGTGATATAAAATACGACATCCTGCTGATACAAGGCTCACATGTCGTGTCTTTGTAATTTAATGTCAGGACTCAAATTAAGATTTGATGTAAATTGTACAAAATTTATTATACATTTTTTATTATCTTTTTTGGTATAAATAAAACTTTTTTCATTTCGTTTATTTTAGCTAGAAGTTCACAAATATTTGCTTATATTAGAAAAAAATATTGTCCAATTTAACCAGTTTATAAAATGCAAAGGCATGATAATAAATATGATTAATGATCTCAACTACAATATTAGTATTGACATTTTTATCAAACACCTTAAAGGAAATTAAAATTCAGTACGCCATGTGCTGTCAAAGGCTTAATTCAAGGTGTCCTATAATTAGCTGACTCGAAGGTGATGCTAATGAAAGAGCAGCGTTATGGAGCCATTCCGGAAACACCAATTACACCATCGCATCACTCAATATTTTATTATGGGATGTAGAACTTCGTATATTTTTAAATATCACAAGCTACATATGTATATTCATTAGTTATTTAAGCCCTTTTACAAGAACTCAAAATTCATCTATCTAAATAGTTTTCAATTATTAATAAAACATATTTATAACATTTTTTGTAAATTATGTAACTAAAACTGATAATATAAATACATTTATCGTTTCTATATTAAACATAAGTCAATAAAACCTTGAATTCGATATCTATATAAATTAAATCATAAATAAATGACGGTCATCTCTTATCTACAAATTAAATCGTCAACATTTTATTAAGATGATATTGAGGTAATATTACATTAATAACACGCAGTTTTTAACACTGATGGATTCCCACCGTGCATAAGTAGTATGCATAATTACCAACAACTAACTCATTTTCATGCCAGCACGGGAATTAAACAAAGAACCCAACAATTATAGCTCGTAACTTAAGTTTTAATATTGAATTATCTGTCTTTATAACGCTGATGTTGCGTGTTTTTAATATTTTATAAGTCACAATGTTGCATTCGTCGGTTAATAAAGCTGCTTAATTTGGATTCGGTTCAGTGATCTTAAAGGGTGATTCGCGACCAAGTCATAAAATAACATTGTATTACCAATAAGCGTTATTTCATCTATTATATGTATAATATATGTATATAATGTTACGGTTCGTAAATCTTTAAATTAACATTGGTTCTTAATGCTATTTATAATATAATAAATTTTTATTGAATTCTTTTCTAAATAAGTATTGTAAGGACAAAAAGAATTTATCAGTTGTATTCCTATGAGAAACAATGATTCATTTATCAGATGACTAACTTATTCCTCTTTATTATTTTATTACTCCTTTTTTATCTGATTTTCAACCTGTTTTCTATTTTTATATAGAATTGTTTTCTACACAATCAACTATGAAAAGAAGCTTTTTTTATTTGTTATACTTATAAATAATTCAAATGTTATTTTAATAAAGTATAGATTTGTCTCTAGTGATAAAAAGTATTTGATAATATTTCCTGTTGTTTATTAATAAATAAACATAATATTATTTTGATATTAAGAATATATTATACATATAAATTATTATATATAGTTAAACATATGAAAAATAAGATATTTCTTTTTCAGGACAAAATTTCCATATACAACTAAAACCGTAATTTAAATGTCTAAATTCATCGTTAACCACTAACAATTTTAGTTAAATTAAGTTATAAATTTATTCACAGCGGCATTTATAATTTATGATATGCATAATTTTAATATTTTAACTGAACGTAAAACAATATTTAGCATTATGTAATAGGATGCGTGGCTTTTACAGTTTCCGTACTTGTAAATATATGTGTACTCACATGATATTTTTTCCACTCGTAATATATCGTGTAATATTCGTAAAATTTGTTATATTATTTTACACTAATATTACTATACCTTTTTTTAAAGAATGCTTGGTTACTAAATATTTTGTTGCAATATGTCACCAACTTTAAGTTTCGGTGAAGGCGTGGTCACGAGATCTTATCATTCCCATTAGCGGACCATTTGTAGCTATATCTGCTACATCTTGCCAATGCACTGTCAAACATTCGTTACCCTTGATATTTAAAAACGAACACTATAATAATGAAAATAAAGTCGAAATCAATTTGGATTTGTTTTTCATCAGGCTATGACGTAAACAGTTTTTAATTCATTTTTTTCAAATCAGTATATAAGATATGAAAATATTGGATGTTTATCACAACACTAATTTTTCGTGATAAAAACCATTCCGATAATATTGTAGCGTGGAAGGCCTCTATCAAAGGTTGTCATGCTCTTGTTAGAAAGTTATTCCAAGAATGTTTCACGCTCGTCAAATGGTATTCGTTTACTATACAATTCGATATAGATTTATATCTTACAATCCTATGGAATCCTGTTTAACTTTTGATTTTTTACGTTCATATTATTATTATTACCGAAATGTTGGTTATAAAAATAACGACAGCTAATTAAGGAAATTATAACTTGAAAATATTTGCATGAATATGAATTAATGTCGATTTACGATGTTAATGCACTTCCTTCCTTGGTTATCATTGCTGTTAGATCGATATCATCTTTAGAGGCTAGGTAACGTCGAATGGCTGGATTTATTGTTGAGCCTGCGCAGACTTCGTGACTGGCCTCAGTTCGGGGGAGGGGGGGGGGGATAGAGTCGGTAAGAACAAAGAGCCTTAAGAACATGCCGCTGTGTTCCCACTAATGAGCAATAAACAAGGGGGAGGGCTTTTGGCGCACCTGAGAAATCATATCGCGATTTTATGCGCAGGCGCATCAAAACTTAGAAGTCTTCCTACTATACCGATATTATATATTTATATTACAGTCCGATAAATTCGATTTGCTTAAAATACCTTGTTTATTATTTTCCGTATATTATGTTGGTATAAAAGTGATTTAGGAGATAGGCTTAGTTAGGTTTATAAGCAATAAAAATGTTAAAGCGGATTCATAAGACATTTACTATACATATTCACGTGGATGGTTCGTGCGATTCCAATGATTATTTACAAACAAAACTCTCACGCAGTTACAGACGAGTGGCTGATCGTTCAACCGTCGCATGGTTTTCAATGCAATTAAAATGCAATAAATGCTGTTGAGTAACATCAATTCTATAGAAAAACAGATTTTTATTAATTAAATACCTACAAAGACGATAATTTGCAAATATAATAGAATGCTGCAAATGGCGTATAATGATAGGTATGGTGTTTACGTTTAGAGCAAACTAATCATCACTCGCACTGAAACGTTAGTATTATAGAACGTTTAAATGATGTAGCAATGTTTAGAAAATCAGAAACCGACACTTAACACACATACCTCCGCATTCAAGGATAGGTGACTACAACTAGCGACTATAATTGTATGTGGTTAGAACTGATTGACGGAGTAGTTTGTTCCAAGTAGCGCGCCCGTTCGTGACTTGGTGCAGATAGCAAGCGTCGTTAGCTCCTGATAGACTTAAGACAGCCTAATGTCTAATACCATACATGTTTAATTCTGCCATGGGAACATATCGTTCATTGGAAGCTTCGCACGCTACGTTACATATAATATAATATATTAGAACGATGATTTTGTCTTTCCTATCCAGGTGATAATTAATAGTCTACAAGAAGCCAGCTAGAGAGTGGCTATCATTTAAATTAAATATTTCCATTACGCACTACTTTCGACAAGATTTATTAATTGTATTTAAATAATATGTGTTAGTAAATAACAACGTAGCTGTAAGAGCATAGTAATAGTCACGAGTTACGGGTCCTTAATTTGTCAGTCCGGTCACGGAAAGCGTGAACAGTTCATTAAAGTTGGTAAAAGTTAATTTTTATCTATTCTGCTGATAGATTTCAAATTATGGCTTTATTATAATATTATTTGGTCCTAAATTATTATAACAGAGTTTCATGTTATGCTTTATTTTGCTTACAATTTTGTTATCTTAAATCGTAAGTAAACCCACACACAAATGTTCCAGTACCTAACATAGTCCAAGCATCTATCTATCACCAGCAACAAAGCAATTGTTGGGCGCTCTGTGACGTAGTAATTCGTCGTTTCCTTCCACGCGACGATTAGCCTCTCTATTTACTTGTCTATCGCTCTAGAGCTGGCAGCTGACGCCGGACGTACCCGACAGACGGACACCGTTACAATTGCATCATTGACTTAGAAAAACGTTTGGACAACCAACTTGTCTGTACCGATTCGACACTTAGACAACTAGACCGGCCAGCCGTTATACTTTACTGCACTGTAAATTGATGCTTAATGTGTCCTATTTTGGATTTTCTATCTTTCCGTCTTTTTGGTAAAGTTTAACTAGGGCGATCACGATTAGTTTTCTCATGTAATTATCCTTAACCTCTAGAAGATGTTATTTTGCAATCAAACTATTCTTTTATTTCGTTTACTGGCAATACAATTTTATGTATGTTTGCAATAACAGTCTGACTAAAATTCTTCGTTTGTATCTTAAAGTAAAGCCCTATGCTAATATTTCATACAGGAGAAATATTAAAGATCGCGATCTCGTAGGGCATGACCGAACGAAGATCGCACGTGGAGTTGAACCGTCTATCGCCCTTAATCACTGATAATCTGACGCTGCGGCATTATACAGTACTGGAAACAATGCCGCCATAAGACCGACAAATGAAAGCAATTAAACCCAAGAAAATAGCAATATTCCCAAACATAAATAAGTCACGCGAAATTCCTTCTAAACAGCCGCCAAACTAAAACTAATTCTTATCGATAATGAGATCTATCTTTACAGACACAAACAGAACTAGCGCAACAATTAAAATTGCTATACAACTTTCTATAAGAATTCATTAAAAAGTTTCCTAATTGGACGTTATATGTTTGAACCTTTCTGGAACTAGCGTTTTCCTTGAAAACTAATCAGCACTAATCATTATGAAATCACGCCTGTACACTAATATATCTCGAGGAGTCCTCAGGCGTGGAGAGCGCCCGTCCCCAAGGAATTAACTTCGACAACGCCACAATAGTCCATAATTATGAAATGTGTTGTGATTTCGAAGGATATGTAATTTTTCTCTCGTGTCGAACAATGCGAGGCGGTAATGGAAGGAGTCAATCAGCCGGTGTCTGCGAAATACGCTCGCGTTAATTTATGCTTTGGTTGGCGCTCACAAAACTCATATTTATATGTTCCCTTTAATGCTCCGTTTGCAGACAAAGGACTATGAAACAGCAATGCCGACGTGAATTATATAAGTGTTAAATTTTAGATTTGTTTCCAATGATCTCGCTCGCCCCGATGATTCGAGTTAATCATTGCACGGGACGGCGCGGCGCACGTGTTCTGCACGCGTAAAAGCCACACTTATGCACTTATATCCTAGACCTACATGGATTTATTGCGAATGGCATATTATTTACTAGAATTATACGCACAATTTGCGAAGCTGTCGCAAGGGCCGGCTATAATTTCTCGATGGCAGGAGATCCATCAATACTCGCCTCGGGGTGCGGCCGCTTTCAATTTGTAGTCCGCTACATCGCCGGCAATTACCGTACGGACGGAAGGCCGATCATCATCGATATATACGCTTAATAATGCCTAATGACACTTAATAAAGACAGAAAATAAAAGTGTGACCGTCATTTGCAACCTACGTGCCAAATCGTATGGTACATGACTGTCTTAAAGCCGTCTATAAATTTTATATCATGACCGTAATCATATATAATTAAAAATTATATTTATATGGAGCTTTCGATCACCTTTTATGTAAATAATTTTGAAACGCCGTTTCTATCATGCCATTTATTGTATGAAATATTAATATACCTACTATCTATTTACTAGGAAACAATATTACTGTAATATAAATATGTAGAAATCTTTTAAGAATCTTTAAAGATCTTTATGAAATATTTTATTTTATATCAAACTCCATATCGAGACTTATTTAACGATAATCTTTTTCTCTTCAAGAACTGTCTCAATATACGTATCAATGTATCTCAGTATATATTCAAAAGTTATGAGTGAAAATCCTGTTCACTTGTATTAATAACTAATTTAATAGTGGAATTAAAGTACCTAGATTGTTTTCTTTGTCATTATTCAGTCGGTGTATGATACGTGAAGGGCGGTTCCCTTACCCTTGCTGTCTGCTGATTGTTATTCCCAAATCGCTAACATCTTGTTTAGTATTGAATTACAACAAGTATCTCAAAATAAAAGCTATAGCTAGATGCAAGTGGTTGTCAAGGTCGCCCGCCTGGCAACCAATAAAAATATTATTTTAATTGGTACCTGTAACAGCGCCATCTATGGTTAACCCTTAAGTTTTTTTTAATGGATTTTTTTAACGACATGTATACAATATTTTTGATACCGACACTTATATACAGATATTATAAGCTTATAAATTAATTATTTAACGTTATACATATATGTATGTACAGTTACTCCCTTTTAAGAGAAATATAAATAGTCAGTTATTTTTCTTCTAAAGCTTTTCTTTGCTTTTATTCTTTTCTCCAAAAGAGTTTATTTTTGGGATATTCGAGTAGACCTTCAAATAAACATTTAAAAATACTTAGGCCGTACACATTCAAATGATTCGTCAAGTCCATATATCCACAATTCGTTTTTATATTGTTTTTCATTGTTTGGTAAAAGTCCAGTTTCTCTTTTAATTTTTGTGAATATTACGATTTTATACTTTCACTTACAACATGATTTTTGGTTAGTTTTCCTTCAATATATCAAAATTGACTTTAATATTAAAACGTAGTAATTATTTCATTATTCTTATTATCAAATAATTCTTATTATGTACCAGTGCTACTTTTAGGGGGTGAAATAAAACAAGTCTTACGATTGTTTATTTTATTAACACGTAGGGATCAACCCTGATATGTGTCACTACGAACGCGAACACTTATTAATTTGATATCAAAATACAAAGGAGCATTCGAAAATATTATTACTCAATAATACATTTAATATAGTATAAATAAAAGTTATAGGTAATAAATGAAAGTTAATGATTTAGTAGAAATATTCATTATGAACTTTTAATTTGTGGAATTTCGAGGTGTTCGCGTTTTGTCAGCTACGTATTAAATTCAAAGATCTCTTAAAACTATGTACTACGTGACCCCTTATATACAGTGCTTATACTAAAAAAATAATTTAATTAACCACTTTACAATAAATACAATACATACAATTTAGTTTTACAAACCGAAACAATTATACAATAGTACGTATAACATTTTATAAGAGAACCAAAATAGAGAGTACATATGTTATAATAAATTAAATAAAAAAACACTTTATTAATAAAATTTCAATCCTCTAGTGATCCCGGACATATGTTTAGACGGGTTATAAATTTTTATACTACATCAAAAATTTAAAGTTTAAATTAAACGGAATATCTTAAAGCATACAATACAATGGAATGTTTTTTAACATGTCTATTAATTAAGTAAGGCTAATTTCCACATCTATTTAATTTTATTATCCTGATAGCTGTTACAATCTTTGGTTATATAATAAATAATTTAACACATTTTTTTATCTGTACAGATCTCATATATTATTTGATGTTACTGAAATGCCACAGAATAAAAAAAAACTAAGCAGGTAACTGTCTTCTAATTGATCTAACTATACATATAAAGTTATACACTTGGGGTAGGAACCTTCAAATTACTAAAATACATCTATTAAAAGCTAAGGAATTATATTAATTTATTAGGTACATAGTCTTACATCACCTGAATGTCTTTCATCGGTTCACTTTCACAGCACTTTTAGATATAGAAGAAGGGTTTAGTTTACATTGGATGTCGTGGCGAGGGCGCGTGTTCAGGCCGGGGAGGATTCGCTGAGGGGTGTGCCGGTGGAGGATATGGACAGTATCTCATGGGTGGCGGGGGCTTCTGAAGCCAGAGATCTGGTGGAATCGCGAGGGGTTGCGGCCAAGCTGACGGCCAAGCTCTGCCGCCTAGTGCTAGTAGCTGAAGCGCAGGAGGTGTTCTAGCCCAGGCTGCTCTCTTCTCAGCTTCTTCCTCGCTACTGCTGCCGGAGTACAGTCGAAGCGGAGAACGAAGCAGCTGCTGCTCCATCAACATCAGCTCCATAGGATCTCTGAAGTTAAAATAGAATGTCATTGATATTTTGTTCAGATAATAATATGTAGGTCATGCAATGAGATAGTTCCTATAATCGTTACATTGTATGGTTCATATTCAGAAATGCTTGCGGTGGTCCAGACCGATGCAGTAAAATCTTCTATGATCTTTCAACACAGAACGGTTTATATCTGTTCATAGAAACCACTAAGGAACTAAAAGATTAACAGAAATACTATTTCATTCAGACTATAAGAAGCTAGTATGGCGATATTTCTGCGAAAATTGCATTGGAGTGTTCGTCTGTTCGTTAGCTTTCAGCGGTCCATGGTCTATAAAAGTGAGTTCGCGGAATGCAGCGGCCACCGACGGGCCACGTGTTTTCAAATCTCATAAAACATTATTACCCTCACTAAGCATATTAAAATAACCTGCTCTCTAATGACTTTAGATTCAATTATTTCAAAACGAAATGCTCAACCGTTCATATAGAAATAAAATGAGCGAACAGTAAATCGTATAATTTATGATTTGCAACCGTGTGAAAGTCCTACTAAAATGTTTCGTTGAAATATATTTCTGAATGCAAAAATTAACGAGGCGAGCACGTTCCGAGCCTTTAGTGCAGTGCGTGATGCTCTTTATCGATTCCAGGATGTTGTCGCCGCAGTATTTCTCGTAACCACCTATTTTAGCTTCCTACACAACCGTGTCGCTTTCCTTACATCGACAGTTACTTGAGTATTTAAACGTTTATTTCTCTCAAATCGGATATTAGGCCTCGGTTTGAGATACGAGCTGTTAATAGGCGTGACAGTACATTGTTGAGGTGAACCACGAAATTGGCATGACGTGATGCCGTGTCGAATTTAATCTATCAGTGATGGCCGAAGGCGCCGGCTCTCAGACAGGTGCCAGGTCAGATACGTGCTAACAAAAATATGGAAGTTTTTGTTACAAAACCTTAATTCATATGGAACGGATAATGGCGGGTGTTAATATCAAATCTGCCCCGTATCATCTCGACTTCTCACACATTATACTAATATTTTATAATAGACCGTGACCTAATCTTATTTAATAACATTTTTTATATGTTGTTTATAGCTTGATAGTAACATTATACGGCGTATAGTGGTAGGTCTAGTTTTTGACATAAATCATAAAAATATCATTTTAGATAAAGATCCTAATAGCCTAAAAATAATGCAATCAACAAAAGTTTTATACAGATAAAATGAAGTTTCCATTGACATTGCTTTAAATGTATCTTTTATAATTACGCATGTATGTCTCAAATCAAACTATATTTTAATACTCTGTTATATGTTGGTATGTCGTTTCGGGTGCTATGGGGGCGTTAATGGGGTATTTATTATGATCTCGGTATCAGCCGTAATAGCCAACACTCGCCGCCAAATTACAGGGCGGCGCTCTAAGAGGCTGTAGCTACGGGATGGAGTTGTCGATAGCGATTTATCGATACATTTTTATTTCACATAATATCTCATTTTTGTCGACATTATTTTTAAATTATGAATAAAGATATTTTAAGTTTTATTTTACGTAATTTTATTATTAAAATAAAGTAAGTATTTTTATTATATAAGAATATTTTAACATAACTTCTGCTCGTATAGTTGAAGCGAGAATACTTTTAGTGAAATAAAATCGTGTCTACACAATTAATATCACTTTAAATGTATAAAAGCCATGCAATTTACTAAATCCCGTATGTGCTAACGCTTCAGACATTAGTCCTGACAAAGCGGTGGGCGTCCACTTATTAATTAATACCTGAAATAATACCGATTCCCACACAATGCCGATTCATCACGCTCGTGAAGCCGATTTGAGACGTCAGCGAACGAAGTCATTAGCCTTCGCTATATATAATATATTTAATGACCTAATACGTTATATTTAATATTATATCCGGTTAAAATTTTTAAACGTAATATATTTCTAACAATGTTGTGAATTTTTAGTATTCATTCTTCATAGGTTCGAGAGGTTTATGAACGGCGTAAACCTTATTTCATATGTAATGACAGAAAAATAATTTGAGTTTCGACAGTGGTAGCATGAGTATGAAGAGTACAACTGAATTATGACCCCACTGTCTTCACTGGTTACCCAGAACTGTTTCTTATAAAGAATCTTTGACTACAGTACGAATTTAAGTAAAAATTGAGATAACAAATAAGTAATAATTCATTTATTTATATGCTCTTCAAAATTTTTACAGAAAGACCCAAAGAGGACGAAATAAATATGTTAAAACTTGAGCATGTCTTAAATAAAAATTCTTCATTAAAAATCGTATGTAATATCCGGCCGATGTTCACTATTAACAAATATTATTTTCTAATTATGTTTCACTTACACAGTAGCAGTAGGAGGAAGCTCCTAATGTACAGATAGCATCACAAATAAGCCGTCAATCAGCTATGAACTATCAACATCGGCGTATCAATTAATACAAATCAGTAGCACATGAGTTGTACGGATCACGTTATTAATTGGTCCAGAACGGATAGTCATGTCATCTAACAGCGCGTGACTCCGACGGAATTTAAAGTGCGGGTCCATATTTTTATCTATCAATCTCCTCTTTCTCTTAATACATTTACACTTTGATCACATACATTCCGAACGTGATCCGGTCAAGCGTTAAGTGTACGACTTTTAAAATGTATAGAGACAGTTATTTTTGTATGTGTTAAAGAATTTTAAACTTCGCACATAAATATAAACGTTTTTAAACACGATACGCGAACCGGTCCGAGCTTCGACGACGGACGGATAATAGAAATGCGCTTTAATTTGTCGTTTAGGGCATAATGAGGAGCGAGCCCTGTGATTACCGCGCCGACGCCGCCGGCTCGCGTTCTCGACATCCACAACCACGGGTACTCGATGGCAAACACGATATTATATATATTATAGTGGAATACGAAATAAACGTGTCGAGTGCGAAATGAGAGACAATAGTACGGTGCTCATGGGAACGCCCGCGATTACAGCCTCCGGCGAATTCTCGCCTCGCATCAGACGGCTCACCTCAAACGTTGGAAAAATGAATAACTTTAAACGTTTTTAAAAATACATTCATAATGTAAATAACAAAAATCTTACTCTACGATTACGTAAACCAAAACATACAGTTAAGCATAATTTCAGTAATTAAAATGACAGAAAAATCAAAAAGCTAACATAGCAACTAAATAAAGACACTAGCTAGCAATCGAGTGACTAAATCGTGTTCAATTATAACTAATTGCTCAATTTCTGATATCACATCTAAGATAAATAGTCCGAAACAACATAAATTAAACGTGGAGTTAATTAAGGAACTAGAATCAGTGTTCGTGACATTTAAACAGATATAATAATGACGTCATAAAGTTGTTTATGTATTTATCTTGTATCATGACAAGTTGACAAGACTGTGAAATATGAAGCATAGCAAGGACTCGTGACTAACATACCAAGGTTTAATATATCTACTATATTACGAAATTATTATATTTAATAATAAAATTGTATGCCACAAAAGGCACAAATAAATTCCATATAAAAATCGATCAGGTTCATTGAACGATTGATAATGTACGGCATAAATTTCTAATATTGCAATACGCCATAAATTCAAAAAACGTTTTTATAGCTATAATTTCTGCGAGCTGATTAAGCTGATATGGATAACAACGGTCCCTAAATCGGCAAATCGGCGCGGCTATCAGCATCGGAGTATCGGAAATCGGATGGCTCGAGTTTTTAATCTTTTATTCGAAAGCCGGCACAAATTGCAGGGCGGTCGACCTAATGCCTTTCAACTGCTACTAATAACCTGCCAATTTATCAAACGCCTCAAGCTCTTTGGATACACGTGCTCGAATCTCACCTTGTGGCTCGTAATAGGTGCTAATTTTGATAATAGCTTTAGATAATGCAAATTTTAGCACATGTTTAATATAATTGTTTTGTTTCGGATATACCTGCCGGCTATTCACAGTCCGACGAGGTGTCTACAAGCTTCTTTTATATATTAATAGTTTTTAATATTCACGTATTAATCATACTTAAGGTACTAATACTGGTATTACGGCTATTTGTCCGGTGTTGCAATTGTGTGCAAATTTATAATGGGTAACTTAATTTTCTGAATAGAACCACCATATAGATATAGTTTTTTGGTTTAAGGTAAGGGTAATTAATGATATATTTACCTATCAAAATCAGTGAGTCTAGATGAATCCCGGAATCCTTTGGCGAATGGGTTGGAGTCGATCTTAAGCTTGGTGATTAGCTGGTTCTGATAGGCGGTGACAGCTGTGAACACGGTCTCCGGGAAGATGAAGGTCCTGTGTTGCTCCCGGGATAGATCTGTGATAGGACCACCTCCATCCCTCACCTTCACCAGGTGGATGCGAGGCTGGTATCTATGCATAGAGTTGAGTACAATCTGTAAAAATAGAAGGAGTTCTTACATGGTTTTCATTGAGCAGAAAAAACAAAACGAGAAGATTTAAAAATATGTACGTATGTACTTCTAAAATTACATTATTTTCTATATTAATTTAATAATCAATTTATAGTATAACTGTTGTTTTTAACGCTGTCTTTAATTTTTGTAATGTAAACGCAATAAAAAAATAAGTCTTAAAACTATACGATATTTTTTTCACGATACTATGAAGATATACAACTAATGTATACAACCTTATTTATAATACGCGTACATTCACACAAGTTCTAAACTACACCCGTTAAATATGAACTAATTAAAAAAAAGCTAATTTACCAAAAAACCGTATTCTAGTCGGTTTCATTAAAATTACTTTAATATTACGTACGGACATAGCTCCGTAATTGATCATGATAGTGATGGTATAATTACGGTTTGTTAATTAATTTGAATGCTACAATATTATAATATAATTGTACATCAAGACCGCCGATTCATTGTGTATTCTTATCACTCAGAGTTATTTTAGTTTTATAATTAGACTAATAAGGTATGTTATTGGACTCGTTTATTGTAGCAACATTTATATTCCTTATATAGAAACGTAATTTTAACCTCTGTTTACAAGAATATATCGTTTATACTCAAAGTACTTATATATAGTAACGGTGTATAATCTTCATATATAAAAGAAAGTCGTATTAGTTACACTATGTATCACTCAAAACGGCTGTACGTGTTTGACTGAAAATTGATGAAGAGATAGCTTAGAACAAAGAAAAGATATAGGATACTTTTCATTCTATTGAAAACAAAAGAAAAAAACAAAAAATACGTTGATCAAATCCAAAATCTTCTTGTATACAGTCTTTAAGAAGGAATACAGTTCGCCCGGTCAGGTATAGGTACATTTCTAATTCTCAAATGAAAGCAGACGAAGTCGCGGGCAAAAAGTAGTACTTAATAAAAAAATTAAGCATACTCAAAAAGAAAAGCTATATACTTAATATATTTCCGCAACTAAATTATAACTTAAATTCAATTTTACTCAATTTCATTCACTATTATTTCAAAGTAAATGAATATTAAGTTGTTTTTAAATGAATTCTTTATACCCATGTATATGTTGAGATGGAAACGACATTAACAGATTGAGGGTAAATTTAATTACATGGCGGAGATGAGCTGGGCGGTCTGTCCGTCATTAGGGTGGCTTTAATATCATCACCTGCGTCCAGATGACTTACAGGCCTTACAGGTGTAGCTGACGATGAGATACGATGACTTACGATGAGTTGATGATGAATTCAATATAGGAAATTTGTTCACAAGTAATCACAGTATTATTAATTCTATGTACTTAACGTATGTTTAAAATAATGAAAGAATATATCACGAAAACATATTATTATGTAATAATAATTATTTTAGAATTATATGGAAAATAAATTATTTTATATATAATATAAACATATCTAAATGAAATTTTATTCGTTATTTTATTCTCCAATTATTCGAGCATATAGAAGCTGAAAGATAAAATTTTTCTCCCTAATGCTGGCTATCGAATAGCTAGAGAGAAAATTACCATGAACCATGATATAAGCTCTTACTTTACTGAAAGACACGCTCAGATAATCCAGATTTAATACCATTAATACCTACGCGGGCGACGACACATCGCAAAAGGTATGTCTAGCCTTTCTATTATATTTCCACAGCAATGTGACCTTTAATGATATCTAATACGGTCGTATTTCGCCTGATAAGATAAGGTAGAGCGTAATCGCTGTGGGAGGCGTTGGGAGGGCCGTGAGGAGGTTCGTGGTAGTGGGGCACAGAACGCTCTCCGCTGTTCAACTGATAACACGTACAGCTGACCTTACCAATACAAATTGTTCGAATCAAATAGATTAAGTGTGACCGTTCTATATAATGATTATATCACGCCTTATTACTGTTAAAATGATTATTTTTAAGATTTTGATTAAAGTAACTGTCAATGATTTTTTTTTTAACAAAGGAATGCATTATTCAGACAAAGTATAATGATAGATCTATTTTATATCTTAAAATGTATGTATAATATGTCTATGTATTGATAGATTAACATATCAAACAGTAAATTCGGTTTCTAATGAAAACATCGGTATATAAATCACTCAGTGACACAACGAAGCCGGTTCGTCAATATGGCCGTCAATATTTTCGATTAGCGCGCAATGTCCGGGATTACGACGGATTGTCGCCTCCACGCCGTAGGAGACAAATTACACAATTTGTACCTCGACGATGCGTATACATAGATACTAAAATAAACCTAACTCTTATACCGTATACATTTTAATTTAAAAAGTTTAAATTTCAAATTTGGAACACACATTGGCTGTTTGATTTTGGACGTTAAAAAAAAATAAAAAAAATATTTCGCTTATTATTAAAATAATGAAATAAATTATTGATATTAAATAAACAAGTTAATCTTCTTATTGGAACATAAAAAAGTCGAGTACAGACGCAACCAAACACAGATATTATAGTTTTTTTTTAATATTAAAGAAGCAACGACTTAAAGTTATTCCACCAGTAATTATTATTTATATCTAATATCACTTTCAATAGTAATAATTCATGTCAATAAGGTTTCCAACGAAACCTTGGTACAGAAGTGACAAATGTACTCCTCGTATACAAGGCCGTGTTTCATAACATCAATAAATAATCACAATTGATTTATTAACATATATTAATGAATATTAATAATTATATGTAATATTATATATATTTTAACTGTCCGTTTGTAAAAATAATGAATTTATATATGTTAATATCGTCTGTCCATTCAATGTGAGACGTCAACAGATCTGACTGTAGTGTGGGCGAGTACAGTCGATAACAACAATTAAAAAATTAATAAATACAATAGAATTTACCTCAACTTTATATATAATTAAAATTAAAATAGTTTTAAACTTAAATTTTATTATAGATAACTCGAAAGTATATATGATTATTTTATATTAACTTATTGTATAATATATATTATCACTTTTGTACGCGACTGTACCGTCGTCATTGAGGTTAAGTCAACATAAGCGGTAAGCGATGAAAAATGACGCTTTAAAGTAGCGGATCCGAGCATCTTTATTAGGTCCGCGCGACATTAGCCCGCCAAAAATGAAAAAAATATTATACACAATTTTAATACGACAATATCGCGTCATACGAACACGATATCGAATCCTTTGTATGGTATTTTTTTAAATCATTACACATATAGGTGATAAATTAAAATTTATTTCTTGATTATTATACACGTATGGATATTTCTTTATTATTTTTAAAGCTTATGTAAAAAGAGAATTCGTTTTTAGTGATCAAATGTCTGTATTGTGATTTCCTTAAATACATTTCTTTAAATAACAAACGTAGGTATCAAAAATAAATAGCTATCATGTCTATTGACAATAATCTTAATTTTATTGAGCTATGATTAGGCCGAAAATTTATGTGACACAAAAGTAAGCTAAAAAATACAAAAACAATATTCTGCTTTAAAAAAAAATTTTGTCATTGGCATAATATTCCACGATGTTAGTACGAATGAAGCTATAGATTAATTTAAAAAAACATATTTTACTTAAGTGCAAAAATCACATTCAAAATTGCTTTTCTTTCCCTTCAGAACAATATATACATATGTATGTGTATATTGAACAGATTAAACGAGTAATATCTGTTAACAGTCGTATTGAATCCACAACCTTAATAAATATTCATGAATATTATGACATATTATGATATATCTGTATAAAAACGAAATCTATTAATAATACAAAAACTATTTATACACAACACAAATGTAGCGTTAATTCTAAACGATGTTGCTACCATTCGTTTCGTGAAAGGATATTTAAAATAGCGTTTATTATTTTATTAGGAATATTTGAGAACCGTTAATAAAATTAAATGTAGGTTTTAAATAGAAAGTTTTTGTATCACGCTTTAAGAAATCTATAAAATCTAAACACGCAGTATGGAAACTTAGTGATAAATAGCACATAAAAAAAATTACAAAAATATGGAAAAAACTATAAAGATACAACATTTGCGTAATACTTTTTTTTTGATGTAGAAAGCACACTGGAGAATCAAGTCGACCTTTAATCAAAATGCATTTAGCAATCTTGTCGCCAATTACAGTATAATTAACACAAAAAATTTATAATATTAAAATCCGGTAGCTTTTATAAAGGAGATAGCCGCAAAGTGGACCGAAAGATGTGACGTTATCTTAATACTTTTTAGCGAGATACATTTGACAAGCGCATTTTATTTCGTTAAAAGAAATAAAATTATAAATCAAATCGATTGGAAAGGCGTTAATAATTGGTGTTGCTTTAAAACGGGACACCAGTTAACGTTTGAAATACGTCCCAGTTTATGATGCGTAGGTAGCTATAAAATATATATACAAATAAAATTCTCCATCGTAAAGAGAGTGACACGGGCAGTGGAGTAGAAAAGTGGTAAATCGTGATTCGACTAGCGCGCCGTCACCCGGGGTGCCGCGATAAACGTCACGTCGGAATGAAAAAAAAAGAGGAATGAATGTATTAAATAATAATCGTTCCCGGGCATTCTGAGACGTAAAATCACAGCGGGTTCCGCAGCATTGCGTTAGTGCTATATAATATTCAACTGGTATTAACATTCAATTTCACTTGAGAACTACACAAAGGCAAATAATGATAGTTACAGCAAATACTATAGATGAAATTACCTTCAATGAAAGATCATATATTAGATATAGTCAAAACAGTAGGTAAAATAAACAGTTGAATAAGTAAGTGTAATATAAGACGATAAAAAAACAAAGCCACAAATTGAGGTGAGAAATATTTGTCGCGGACTCCCCGCGGTCCGTGGCTCGTTCTACGTATCATTACACTGTTTGATTCATACCTGTTCCCTATCACTGCATCACGTCAGAACCACAACCGGCGCTCATAACTCTGCTAAATGAGCTCACATCTCCACTCGATATATTTGCATACAATACACTACCGCTTACCTTAGACCGCATTCCATTACGCATCGAACAAATTCTTCGACTAATCATTATATTGTTATATTTAAATAAAATTATCATTATATCTAGCTAGTGTTTTATGTTCGTAATATCGGTAAGTAATCACTGAAAAGACTTTAGTCATTAATCATATAAATATTTAATGTTTGAGTATTATTATAAACGAAATAAGACTTTTTTTAACAGATAAAATTCGTTTTTTAATATGCACCAACAACAATGACAGCGTGTCGATCGTAAACAAACAGAACCTTCCAGAACTTTGTCATATTTAAATTATCCTTTTTATTATGACACTCGTTTTTTTAAATTTGATATCGTACGCTCAAAATCAAATGCCAAACTAAAGATCGAATGAAAACGAAACGCTACACAGTTCTAAATCCTTTCACCGTTGTAAAGTAATATTTTATACTTATACGAACATTTATAATAATGCGTATCTCGAGAACGGAGCATTAAACTAATAACTCGGAGCAGTACGGTTCTCGCATGTCTTTCATCTTCAGTTTCTAATGGCCATAGTAAAAACTGAGATCAATGAAACTTTAAAACATTTAGCAACAATGTATATACGCTGTACTGTAAAATATTAACAGCTCTAGTCGAAACGAGACCCGCTCCGTACATAGAACAACCACTTAGTATTCACATAAAAAGAATGATTGCAAATTGGCATGTTTACTCGGAAATAAAGCCAGTCTGTGTTATTACACGCCATCTGCTTACAACGGTCTCCCGTAACCTAATGATAAAGTAGCGAAATGCTTAAACATTATTTTATGTACTTATTAATAATGTGTTATTAATTTTAATAGATTTCAAGTCGTAAAACTCTCGATGTAGGTTCTATTATAACAAAAGGCTGTAGTCGTTTAGTTTAGTTATATAGAAGATGAAACTTCGAATGTAGTTATTACAATGAACCGATAGTCTACTTTAACTGAAGATCATTATGTCATTAATTAGAATATAGAAGAACATCTTATTAAGGATTTCAAACAATCTAAATATTAATAAACTCCTAAAACGTTCAAAGACTATTGATATTGATACCCCACGCAGTAAAGTGCACCGGTTGCTTCCGCCGGCAACCCTTCATACAATTGCCTTTATTATGACATAAAAATAATTCAGGCCATCTCTTCCCACAAACTAAATTAACCACCTTTAATCATATTTGAGTTACTTCATACAAATATATTTTAGGGTTCCCTTGGACTATGTCATTTTTATTTAATATAAACTTCAAATTTTTATGTATAATAAGAAAAAAATGACTTTATATTTACTATAAGATTACTAGAAATATGTCTAATGCTAATAATTATCGTCTTATTCAAGTTGTTCTATGTATATAAAAAGAAAGGTATTGTACATTTTATGACCGCTTACTAAACCTACATATGATATTATTTTATACGTTTTCATATATATAAATAAGGTATTGCTCACAAAATGTCCAACCAAATCTTAATAGTACTGTTACATAAAATCCGTTCAGAATTCACACAGAGTAGACATTCAACACAATAAAATATGAAATGTGGTTGTTTAAATTATGTAAATAATTATATCTCGCTACATACTTATTGATTTATAAAAACAGTTTTAAAATTCGTGTTAGTTTATTCACTCTGCACCTGTCCGAGCAATTAATATGATTTATGATACAACTTTTATTAGTGAAATCGATAATCTCCAATTATGATTTAAATCGATTCCATTTATATATAGTAGGTGATGAGTTATTGTTTTGAATTTTAATATGTCAACTTTCAACGGTACTCGTTTAGCGTGAGATTTCTATTACCTTGATAAAATATATCGAGTTATCATGATACATCGATACTAGAATATTCTGTTTGGAATATTATACACAAAACATGCGATTATCATTAATTATGATAACTATCGGCAATGATAACGATGTAACCAAGGCTGCTGTAATGAGAAACTAGTGAGGGAAACGCGACGGGTGTCCGAATTTTTGAAATTATTTATTAATTTAAATATTTATACAGAGTCAATGAGACTCCATTATAACGATGTGGAAATAACGGTGTGATAAAAAAAAGAACATAGCGTTTTATCATTAGGAATTCGGGATTTTTATGTATTTTGATTAGTTCGTCAGACACTATGGAATTAATGGTATTTAATGGAAATTTGATATTTTATAAGCAACCGATCCACCTGTTGTGTACACGATTAAGCTCTTGGCTAATAGCCAACTTGCACGGATACAATGATCTAAAATTGAACGAGCAATCAATTATACATCGATAGGTTATGTAACCCATCTATAATGTTTAAAATACCGCTTTGATACTGCATATCAGTACACTTTTGCGAAAAATTAAGAACATAAATGCTGTTTTTTCTATACAAGACTATGGAAATAATATTCGTTTACTCAAAACTCATACAATAATCACGTAGTGCGTAATGTAGGCTGTTTCAAAACACTTTTATAATAATAACATCTATTACGGTGTATATGTTTTTAACAATTCTCATTATTTTAATAAACGGCCAAAAGCCAGTCATAAATCATCGGTACGTCATTAACATAGCGTACGGAACCAGCAATTTCCATATTTTCATTAATTATTGTATGAAAATAAATGTTCCTCTACGAATATTTACATTTGTATGACATGTGGATTAAAAAATAATTATAATTGAACGCTGTTATTAATATGTTTGTATAATGAAAATAATCAAGATATTACTATTGTTAGGAACAAAAAGTAATCATAGAGAATAATTAGAGAACTTAAGAAGGTTGAAAATGGCCTAGAAAAGAGCATTTAAGTTATATTAACACATATAATGAGCGGCGGTCTTTGTGAGCGACGCTATCAAAGTTTCTGATAACCTATGTTGAGCTCCAATCTCACCCGTCATCGCTGCCTTCGTGCGACCATACTCATAACTCGAACGACCACGATTCGGAATCACGAAATAGGCTCCTACTTAAACCTTTTACCGGACACTTAATAAGAATTAATATTTGATAGAACAAACGCCTTAATAATATTCATAATTTTATAAAACATCGTTGTTGACATTATATTATAACAAAAGTAAAAAGGAATGAAAATAAAACAAAAATTATGACAGCATATCGAATGTCAAGTTACGTGGCAGCAGTGCTAACAGGAATCCGGTGCATTCCAACGTATCAGGTGACAATGACGAGTGTTAAGTATTTACATTATTGGAAGATTGATTAAATTGTCCATCTCAACATGTTTTGTTACACAGCCAAATACGATCCGGAGTGCCGATATTTTGTTACTTCTTTATGATGCAGCTTTTTTTTTGCTCCTGATATATCAGCTTAAAATTAACTTTATAAAATAAGACACGTCTGTTTTAAAATATTCTCGGTAGGTATACAATTCCGCTGATAGTAGACCGTGATGCCACTGATAAGGTATTATGGGAAAGCCAATTAGAGCTAGAGCGTTTTTGGTCCGAGGCAGTCCATCCATCACGCGGCCACGCCCAGGCTGTTCCGTTCCACTGCCCTCTGGTCCCTCATTCTATGCACTGAGCACACTCCAGTATAATTAAATTAAATAAAACACCGCAACGCCACTTTAATTTCTTTAGATTCTGATGAGATGGTCCTTTTGTTGCTATGTACGTTGCAACCATATACAATATTGATTAAATTGTAAAAGTTGAGAAAGTTTTATTCAATTTATACCAACATTTTTTGGTCTACATGAGAATTAATTGTAAAAGCGAAACAGCTCTCAGTAATCTGGTGCAGCAGCGACGTTCTGCACAGGCATGTGCGGCGAGCCGGCTGTCACACGACATGTGCGACTAATTTGTTGCCGACAACGCACTCATTACACTGTCCCCGACGCCCGAGGTGTCGCGACACCGGCAATTTCACTCGTAATTCTATAAAATTGCCACACGCATAAGGAAGTCGTCTCATCTCAGCTAACGTGTGTTTAAAAAATATATAAAACCGCAATTTGTTGTTATTGTGACACTTTTTACGTCCCTACAGTTGATACTTTATTAGCAGTTCATTTAAGGAATATATAGATATTATTACCTTCTGGAATAATGCCAAGAAATAATTTTATGGTGGTGAAATAAAAGGATGTATCTATAAATATGTCTAACCTGTCCATTTTTGTCCATCTCGTTGTTGGTGAGTTTGACCTTCTCGAAGGAGACGACCTGCTTGCGCAGCTGATCCCCGGAGAAGGGCGAGTCGGGGTGCGGGTATAGTCTCGCCGGCGCGGGAGGGTCCGCCTTGCCGGCCACCAGCCAGGAGGAGCGGTGGTAGGCGTACCGGTACCGCTTGCCGTCCACCGGCACCACGTCCAGCAACACGGCGTAACGAGCCTCCGCTCGGCATCCCGCGAATGATACTCGCACCGTCGGGAACATTCGTCTATAAAATCAAAATTAATAAATAAAATATCAGCAATAGTGCAAAAGAACTTACATGTGAGTGGATTTTTAAAATTTAACTTTGATCATTTGGTAATTTTCCTTAAATATATCACTGTATACGATCTAAGAAGATTATAAAAGTAGAAATCTAATGGCATGAAATTCATAAAATACATTATTCTCTTTACAAATTTCAACTTCAATCAATTAAACTTTAAATATGGATAACGCATAATTAATAATAATAATAACTCGGAACATTTCTTAGTGTATAGAATAAAATTTGTACACTACTAATTGCTATAAACTCCAACGTCTGTTACATCATTTTCGGAACTCTTCATTAACGACCTCATAAGAAAGAAAAAAACCCAAATTAGACATTAAGATACAAAAAACCTTATAATTCCTAAAGTGTTTTACAACACCAAAACACATGCTCGCAATAAAAAAATATGATGAATGTATAATTAACAAAAACTGCCAAAGATCTGGCCACGGACGGTGACTTGTATAATAACAGGGTGAAACTCGAACTAGGAAATCAAACAAATATGATGTATTCGATTTTAATGCACCCCTAAATGGGCCGAAGCGCTTCCTGCCAGCCAGAGGCGATAACATCTCATCGCTACCTATTTATAAGGCAACCTTTCTTAATACATTTTTTTTTGGTCTCTAAACGTTACTTTTATAATTTTGAAGGCTAAACAAGTAGTCATAGATAAGATAATATCTGACAATTTGTTCATTGGCCCTAACTATCGGATACCGGTCACACTCCATAAGTTTCGTTTATATTCGTTGGCCGGTAGAGTATCAATACGAGGAGGAGGTTTACGATGTAATTCCTACACTGTAATATAAAATGCGGGAGTGAAAGAAAGAATTATTAGCAGTCATAAAACACGGCTGCGGTGTCAACCTTCCAATAAGTGTAATAATAAATGCGAGACCTATAAAATTCTGAGAGTCAGAACACTATCGCGGCTATAAAGCTGGGTTTTGGTCGGCATGGCCTGCTCATAAATAAATCGTATTAATGTGTGTGTTTGAACGCTCGCTTGGTATCGGTGGCGTTGGATCTCTCAACGCGGCGGACAATAAGTCGCTGTCAGTCGTTTATGATAGTGTCGTTAAGACGGTGTCGCGATGTCGCGGACACGGCTCGGTGTCCGGCCACCCAGAGTGGACGGTAATGAGCGGTATCCATCACGAGCTACCATCGATCTTGCTCCCAACTCCACTTGTTACGCTCAAAAACTCAGTTGCAACATTATTATCGATCGCATCTCACTTGAACCAATCAATATACTACGTACACACTGACATGTGTCATAATCTGTCTCCTTGTAATACTACAAAAAATATATATAACTCTAAAAATATTATTTTTGCAAAAACAATGTAAAACAAAAAGATAATATTATGATATAAAATTTACAACAGGTCTATCAATCACGTCCATCATCTGTCATTTAAAACAAATAATTTTAATAAGCGCGGAAAGCCATTGAATGTCTTGCAAAAGTATTAATATTTTATTGCATTTATTCAGACTAACGTTTAAAGGAGGCCTGCGAATAAAGGGACTATTGATATTAATGCGACATTTCACGAATGAAGTTTGTAGGACAGGGTAATACATTAACATAAATTATTAACAGAACAAGAGCACGGTACACCGATAACATAAATATATTCATTAATATTATTACAACAACATGGATACTGTTTTATTTATGGCTATAGTTTTTTAATACATATATATCTACACATATACTCATCATCTAATTCCATGTCTCATAATAGATATTTACATAAAGTGACGCACGAGGGCGCGGGTTCGATGCTAGCAATTACCAATGTGATTTTTCCGAGTCATATGTACTTTCTAAGAGTATTTAGATACCATTGACAGACGGAGAAGGAAAATATCGTGAGGAAACCTGGACTTATAATTTCACAATTATAAGTTTGAAATCACCAACCCGTCTTGAGCAAGCGTGGTGATTAATGCTCAAACCCTCTCCATGTGAGAAGAGGCCTTTGCTCAGCAGTGGGCTCTGATAGGCTGATAACGATGACGACGCTTTAAGAAACAGAAATCAACAAAGCTATAGAGTTTATTATCTTTATGGGTTAACGTTTTTATTGTCAAGTTTACATAACTTAGTCCAACAATCATATGAATATTTAATAAACGTTTAAACCTGCCAACCCTTGAAATAAAAGTGAAAATAAATTATTTGCAACGATTATAATTAGTCTGAGTGTCGAACAGAAAACAAAACGGTCCATTTAAAGACGATACCATTAAAAATAATGTTATTATTATACAAATAAAATATTTATTAGATATCGCAATATTGAACTCTATTCGCATAAAAACAGGGTTGTACGACGTTTTTATTATGAAATTAGCTTATTTACATTCAGTTTTAAATGCTGGTAAAGAAAAAGCAATATAATAGTCATATGAGGGAATTTTTTAACCGCAAAACGAAATTATGTGACAAGCAAAAGTATACAAGACAAAATTAAGGTTGACCACATCCGATGAGAGGCGCGAAATTGTCGATCAATGAACACGAAGATACAATAATACGTGATCCCTCCACAAGGTGTTCAAACAAATTAAATAAGATTTGACATAAAAAAAATATATATAATATATTGAAAAACATCGCAATAAACTAAAAGTCATAATTTATTATCACAATCATTATTAAAATTTCGCGTTTATTACCCGGCTATAGATTCTTTGAATCAAATAATGAACTCGTGTTTTTTTAAGTTCATAATTATATTTTAATTTTGACGTACCTACCTAGTGTTTAAAAATTTATAAGAAAATTGGACACCTGATCTAAAATTATATTTATTCGTTCACCTGTTTCTTACCCGTTTCATGGAACAGTAAAATTATAAAAGATAAAACATTAAATACTCCTTCGACGAAACAATAAGGTATTAATAAAGTTACGTAGCTATATTTTCCGGTTTGTAAATTCAGGATTAATGCTCGTCAAATGCTAGCCCGACCTTTACATGGTCGTTGTGAATAAACATCGTGTGCATCGATCTAGGGAAGTATTCTATTGACTTGTTATGGAGTAATTTCATAGCGTATATATGAATTGTATTATTCATTTATGAGACAACAACTGGTGCATTTGTACAAATGTAGATCAATTGTATAAAACTTGTTTCTTTTTTATTAATCACTCAAAGTTATTTGTCGTATCGATATAGCTGAGCACATTATAAGTTAGACATTCTTTTTGAATTGTGTAAGAGAATAAGATAAAAATTCTTAAACACTATTAAGATAATATTCCAATATTAAAAGTTTAATTTTCGTAAAAACCTTTCGATAATATTATTAGTAAATATTTACTGTATAAAATCCTAATGCTACGCCTATTAGTCGCACTTATTAGGCAACAACTTTGGCTATAAAGGGTCCGGATTCCGCGAAATATCATCGACCTGATGTATGCAACTTGATACAACTCTGACTTTACGAGATCTCAGTTTACGTTGCATTATAATAAACGTTTAGAATATTTTCTCATATATATTATTGAAAGAACGAAAATCTTGATTAATATGACAAGCATTTTATCAGCAATGCCTCCTATAATTAACAACAATTAATCTTTTAATGGATATCATTGGAGAGTATAGAAGTAATAGAATGAATGTGGTTATGATAATAATTTAACGAACTCTCAAAAAAATTGCAATCCAACTAATGGAATGAGAATATTAGTCGACTGAGTAGGTACATATCGAATAGACACTAACTGACTAAGGATTTTCGTTGTAGTATAACGCGTGCACGTCAAGCTAATGTATATCACGCGTCAAGTTACGCGCCGGCGAACGGCTGCCACGCGATGTAATCGCCTCACAACTAATATTGAGTTACCAATCGCCACCGGCTTAAAATAATCACACACCAATTGACACGTTACTTACCGATGTGATATCAATTGATAAGTACCTAATAATTAGGCAATATAGATGTTAAAAATAAGATCTATAAGAATTATTTTGCTACCAGCTTTCTGATGTACAATTTGTTAAAACAATTGACGAAAACTTCTGCGATATTTGAGCGGAAAAATGTTCTGAAGTTAGATTCAAAATTAAATAAAATAATTTAGTACTTTAAAATACATAATTACAATATTAGGACTACATCAAATTTAGCTAAGATATGAGTTACGTTTCAAGCTTTCAAGCAATTAAAATATTTTTGGAATAACTCAAAATAGAAACGGACATCAATAATATAGTGATCTCAATAAAATCCAGTACAAAATATAAGTTTACGATGTTGTATTAAAAATAGATGGCAATGCTTATTAGAATGTGTAATGAACTTAAGAAGTAGTAAGTACCTAGTTTGTGGGGATGAAACCTTTCGATAACTAATCAAGAGAGTACTATGTTTTCATTTCAATATTGTTCTCATGCAAGTAATATATAAAGTACTACGGTACAATACACTTCAGCCGGATGCCTTCAACACTTATAACCAGCTACTCATTACAAACATATCAAATTAATGTTAATGCGATATAATCTGGTTTTTTTTTCAGAGACCTTGCTTGGGGTTTTTGTTTTTGTTGTAATTATCATTTTAAGTAGATCCGTTTCCACGACCTAGGTCACGGAAACATGATTATAAACGATCATGTGAAATGATGTACGCTGTTCGTAATAAAAGTATATGATTGATACGAAAATGAGCATTATTGGTCCACAAAATGCAAGGTCGATAAAGCTTTTAATAGTTTGAATGGTTTATATAAAGTTTTCTACCAAATTACTAGGTACCGTAATTTAATCTCAATAGACTCCACAAATCTTATAAGACTCAAACAAAAAGTATATAATATCTAAAAGTTCTTATTCTCTATTTTAAACGATGATCAAAATGTACAACTAGGGACTACAAGGCGCTAAACATATATATTACAATTTCAA